GGTGAGTGGCAAGCGGCGAGCAGCGGCCAACACTACAGCAGCGGGTGGGCTGCTATTTGCGCCCGCCCCCCCTCCCCGCGTCGTGGCTGCTGCTGCTGCCTGCACACGGCCATCCGCAGTGCCACATGGCAGCTTGCTGAAGATCTTGAAGACCCCCCTGGCTATGGGGCTGCACTACAGTGGAATCTGGGTGGCTGATCAAGATCTCAACACACCCAGATACTGATGATGATTATTATTATTATTTTATTTTTTTCCTACTGCTGCATCGGCAGTTCGGCCACTGTGAAGACCCCCCTGGCTAGGGGGCTGCGCGACTGTGCAATCAGGGTGGCTGATCAAGATCTCAGCCAACCTTATATTATTTTTTTTATTGTAATGACCCCGCCATAACACAGACCGAGAACACAGCTGATTTTTGAGTTCTGCCGATGGAATGGATGCCTTGCCATAGCTGAGATTCCCGCATTCTGCTGAGTTTTCTAAGTCTGTGTGTGTGCGTGCTTGTTGACCTGCGTGCCTGTCTGAGTGCTTGTCGGCATGAGTGTGTGCGTGTGACCCACAGGGGTACTTCCTTGTCTGGGAGGCCCGTAGGGCCGGTACTTACCTGTGGCCGTGACATTGAGGGTTGCAGCAGGGAAAACACTCAAGTGGCGGAGCCAGAGGCCCACGGCACTTAGAGCAGCGGAAAACAGGTAAGCCTGTACCGCACCCAGTAGAAGTAGATGTGCCAGGTACTGGAGTCCGAGCAGAAGAAGACAAAGTTGGCATTTTTAGAGGCCCAGTAGCGAGGCTAGGTCTAGGCGGGTACCAGTCCATCCAGTCTGAGTCTAGGGCCTGTACGGGCAATATCAGCGTCTGCAATGATGTTTCACTCCGAAAGGGAGGAGGTACCGGCTGCTTGGGAGGACGAGCGGCCTGGAAGTCACCGCCCAGGAGGCAAGTAGGCCGCTATATCTGGAGGCTGAGCAAAGAGCCCGGCCTCATTCTTCAGTGTGCGAGTTTGGCGGCACACTGCTGGAGCGCTGGCTGGAAGATTGCTGGCTACCACAGCGCTGCTGGGAGGAAGAATCCCGGGAGCTTCCACCTTGGCTATGGTGGAGC